GTTTTCATCGATGACATCTTGGTTTATTCCAAGACGCGAGAGCAGCATGAGGAGCACTTGCGGGAGGTTTTGGGTACTTTGAGGAGGGAGGACTTGTATGCTAAGTTCTCCAAGTTTGAGTTCTGGTTGCGCGAGGTGCAGTTTCTTGGGCACCTTGTCAACCAGGACGGGATATCGGTTGATCCGGCCAAGGTTGAGGCCGTGATGAGGTGGGAGGTTCCGAGGTCTCCATCTGAGATTCGGAGCTTCCTGGGATTGGCAGGCTACTATCGGAGATTCATTCAGGACTTCTCCAAGATAGTCGTGCCCCTGACCAGATTGACGTAAATACCTTTTTAGTTTTTAGACACTATGCCCGAACTATTCTTCAAACGACTTATTTACAATTTTCTATTCCTATCAACATTACTTACAACATATTTGAACATTTACTCAACAATATTTTACACACATTTTTTACTTATTGTGCAGTAATAAGCTTTAACATTAATTAAGTTTGTTGGTTTCAAAACCCTCTAAATGTCATAAACTAGTTGTACACTTTTAGCTTAGCACATTGCAAGTTTTTTTTTTTTTTATGTTTAATAAAATTATGTGGTTCTAAAAAAATAAACCTACCTTTATGTGGGTTTTTTTTTTCGATCAATTATGGTGCCAAGAATAACTATAATTTTTTTATAGAAAATAAATATGTTATCTAGAAATATGGTGGGACCCACTTCCAATTTGGGTCCAAACGCCCCTCTACGAATGCAGTACATATGTAAGGGATTGGAGATTGCATAGCGAATTGCGTAGGGGACTGAAGACGACGCCAATCATGTAGTGTATTCAATACGCATTGCACTTAATAGGAAAAAAAAATATGTAATTTTTTGTCACACTAAAAAAGATTAATACCAACATGTATAAAGTATACAACTCCTCAACATCATGCTACCTCTCTCTCAAACAAAATTTAACTAAAACTTGTCGGGTTGTCCAAATAATATCAAGTTTTTATAAATTTTTATTTGATTTTTGCGATTTCAACCAACAACTTATGTAAGGCTTGAGGCTTGGAGAAAAATGGGCAATGATCAGAACCTTTTAAACGAAAAACTTTTTCGGGTGGACTTTCATTTATCATTATTTGTTGGAGACTAATTGGTATCGCGTTATCTTCAAGAGTTTGTATATAAAATCGTCTCACGGATCCATAATTTGAGTCCGAAAGAGAAAGCTTCTCAAGAACGGGTGCAAATGGAATTGGCCTCATTGAGACCGATGCTAATGCTACGTCCTACACATATCAATAAATAATATGTTTAGAAACAACTAATAAAGATGTGCAAACATTATTAATTTTGTATATGGCTTATAATTACAAACTACAAACAATTTTTCTTCGTTTGGGTGTGTTAAAATGCTAAGTTATGTTGTAGTTTGTCATAAGGTTATAATAAAATGGTTTGTTGGATGTTATTTTTTAATTAATTGTCATATATTAGTAAATGATTATAAAAAAAATCAAAAGTTTAAATTTTTTTAACAAAAGAAAAACTCCATTACCGACCTCAACCGTAACTATCGTCCTAAAAAAAACTCGATTGGGCCGGGCCTAAAAAAGATTTATCATTTTAGTTTAGAAAAACATAACCGTTTTGAATCGGACAAAAAAACTAACTAGTCTTTGTCCTCTTGAAAATTGTTTCGATTTAAATCCAAAACCATAAAAGATAAATATTGTACAACTTATTATGTCATGTACTTTGATATGTTGAAAATTGTTTCGATTTAAATCCAAAACCATAAAAGATAAATATTGTACAACTTGTTATGTCATGTCATGTACTTTGATACGAGTCATACCTTTGTGGTACTTTGGTTGAATAAAAGGTCCTTCAAAAGCGATTTGTCAAGATCTATAGCAGTTGGAGGTTGATTGTTCCCATTTGCATATAGAAATTTTTGAGCTTGCCTCATTAGATCGTTTGTATTTTCCTGAAATATTGTTATCTGAATTAAACCGAACCCCATTCACCTTTATATATATATATATATATATATATATATATATATATATATATATATATATATATATATATAAATGCTCATTTGAGGAACCAGACTAACATTGCTGTAAAAAAGTTATTCTTCCACCAACCCTTAACCTGACCCACACAGTACCATTTCACTTGCATCATGTGAGATTTAAACTCAGAATAAAAAATACATAATTTTATTGGACAAACCTTGTGAGAGAACATATCAAGAGTGCTTTGTCCAGTTTTCAACATTGAGGCAGCAATGAAGATAGCTTTTGCAACTTTATTTGGAAATAACTCCATTGCATATGATATACATGCACCACCAAAGTCATGTCCAGCCAAAATCACCTACAAATTCGAAAAGGGTATGTGATTTTAAGTAAGAAAATAAAGATACAAACTTGTATATCGAATTATCGATCTTTGAGATCTATCTTTTAAACCCATTTTTTATTTTTCCTCTCTATATAGTACACAACTTCAAAGAAGAAAAAATAAACTATGTTGAAGATCCAAAACTAACCTTTTCTCCATCTTCAAGCTTTTCAAGAAAATCCGTTAGTGGCTTCACATATTGTGAGAGACTTTTGATATCATTTGCATCAAACAAATCAATCCCACAACCACTTGAATCGATTGTAGTCACTTTGAATTTGCATTCTTGTAAAAGTGCCATAGTTTTATACCAACACCAGGCTCCAAAACCACCTCCATGAACAAGAACAATATGGCTTGTCTCCAGTTCTTCATGGTTTACCTCCTGTTATCCAAATCACACTTTACAATTGAGGAATGAATGAAGAAATATAAAGAACTCTAATCGATTCAGATAACCAATTATATAATCGCACCAGTAATTTGAAACTGATGGATGCATTAGTTTTCCCCAATTCTCGATACAACGATCGAATTATCACAAAATGTATAAGATTGAACTCCAAATTCATCAATCAAACATAACTAACCAAATTATTCAATCGATAAACAGATAACAAACCTGATTAATGAGCTGTTGAAGTGGAAGCATAGGATCAGCAAGCGAGCGACGCCTAGTACTAGAACTACGAGGAATACCCTGATGGCATTTGGAATTTGCGCCACCGGAAGGATGCCGGAGAGAAATTGATCGATCAAAAGCTCCGTTTTGCTGCTGGTGTTGCTGGAAGAGGAGAGCGGCAGCAATGGCTTGTTCGTGAAGAAGAGCGTCGTCAAACTTTTCCTTCTTAACTGAAGAAGATCGAACGCGAGACCATCGATTAAGAGAATTTTTGTTGATTGATGTAGTGGATGATTGATTTGATATGCGTTTTGAGTAGATTCTCGTTGATCTTGTTGATTTTCTTGAGAAACATATTCCCATTTTCTGTAGATGGATTGTTTACTGCATCAATGGATATAAAGGTAGAGTTTAGGAAAAAGTGAATCAATAATGGCGGAAATTGAGAGGGTGGTGGAGGAGGAGGAGACTGGTTCGCTGCGGAAGTTCGTAAGAACCGCCCTCTTAAAAAGGCTGCATTTAACGACGTCAATATAGCCGAATGTCCCATCTCAAAATGTCGAAATTATTTTATTTAAAAAATTTCAATTTAAGCTTTCGTTGTATTTTTTTTTTGTTATTATGACATGATATTTAAAAAAGAAAATCGTATTCGTTATTAGGGATGACAAAAAAACCCGAAACCCGATTATTTCGGATCGGGTAACGGGTCTTTATCGGGTTTTTTATCGGGTTCGGGGCAGAGAGTGGGTTATCCTCGCCCCGACCCGACTCGTCCCGATTATATATATATATA